AAAAAAAAAAACTCAGGAAAAATATAGAATGGTCAGTCAAAGCAAACTGTGAAATCAATTTCAAGTAACAAAACTGATTAAAATACAAAAGTCTAAAGACTGAGAGATGGCTTAGCAGTTAAGAACATACATATTGTTCTTGCAGAGGACCTGAGTTTGGTTCTGAGCACACACATCAGACAGTTCACAACTGCCTACTACAGTCCCTGATGCCTTCTGGACTCTACAGCCACCTGCACTCATGTTCATAAACACAACATACATACAATCACATGTATGCACATGTGTGCACACACACAGTTAAAATTAAATAAATAATTTTATGTCTACAAAGCTACCAAGTATTTAGAAATGTATTGACAAAAATAAAGACAATCTTGCCTTCTTTTGAACATAATCATTAGCTTTGGGCTCAGATACTTTCTTAATAAACTCTTAGACTCTTTATAATTGCTTTCTATTTATTTATTGTATACTTGTGTATGTTTCACTGATGTAATATGAGTAAATAAACCTTGTCTATGACCAAAAAATAAACAAATAAAATCTTTACCAAACTTCAAAAAAAAAAAAAGTTCTCTGGGGATTCTTCCTTCTCTCATGTGATGACCAGCATATATCAGTTGGTGGTAAGTTATCTAGATACCAGGGGGGCTATGGTGACTTTCTCTCCTCACAATTTTTCAGCCACCACCACCATCCCCTGTGTGCACTCTCCAAGGAGTCAGTCCAGCGAGGTGGAGAAATATCTCACCTGGGGTTAGGTATTCCAAAGCACAAAATCAGAAGCTTTGGATCTTCTCAAGCTTTTGAACTAGCGCTGAGACTTCTGGAATATTCCACTGGCTAAAGCAGATCACAGAGGCAACCTGTGACTCAATGCCTGAGGCAGCTACAAAAGAATATGACTCTGAGGAGAGATGGTTAATTGAGGTTTGCCCTCCCTCTTCCTGTGGAGCAAGAAGGAGGCTTAGAGTCATGTACTTGCTAGCACGTACCATTCTTTAGACACAGGAAGAATGACTCAGAGACAAGACCCAAAGGCCAGAGGTTGAAACCAAGAGCTGAGAGGAATAATGCCAGAAAAAAGAGAGGTCTGAACACGGAATGTCCCTTGACTTAAGTGGAAGAAATCAGGGACTATGGCAGCCTGGATTTCAGAACTGCTGTAATAATCCCTTCCTTCTCCTTTAGAACAGGGAATATTGTAGTTTTCTGACCTTTCCCCTACTCTGTGGTGGAGAATGGAGGACAAATGGATTGTTCTCTTTCTTGATCCTCAACCATATAGTGTTGTGACCCTGGACTTTTGGCTCATTTCACATAGAATGAGGTTTGCGTAAGTGAGGGAATTTTTCATCAGAGAAGGCATGAATCATGAAGGTGGCTTCAACAGGATACGTCCCCCACATCCATCACTTTTTGCAGATTCCTCTCCCACATCCCCTGGGGCCTGATGCCATGACATGGCAGAATCTGGAGGAACTGACACTCCACTGGCTATCGGGAGGAGTGTACAGTTGAAAGCCTCCATATTATTCACTTTTTCAGATGTTGAGCCTCAGTGTAAGACGTCTGGCTGTCACAGTTGAGAGACCACCCTTCGGGATGACATGAGGAGTCCATGCAGAAAGGGAAAGGTCTTGAGACTGATATGAGGAGCAAAAGAGGCCCAGCAGATCTAAGATCCCAGGTAAGACTCCACTCAGTACCCCTACCCAAGAGAGCTCCAGAGAGACCGGTATATCTCTGTCAAAGGGGTCGACCATAACCGTACAAGAGCAATACAATATTTGGTTTTAGCCTTTGAATGTTAGGACAATTTACTAACACAGCTACTGGTAACCAAAAGAGATGAATCAGTGGGTGATTATGGGCAAAATATGATGCTTAAAGGAGGTTGTTATGTTTTCATACAACTGAGCCAGTTTAGAAACACAAGGAAACTTGTGAGAACACGATATGAAAAAGAAACCTCTCATCTGTTCTGGGTAAGAATCGGGAGAAGCTCACAAACAAATTATAAACCACGTTTGTAGTCAAAACATGTCTCAACCTCCTTATGGACTATGGATAATAAAAATTCATTTGACCTTTTTCCTATTTGGCCTTTTTTAATCTCATCATCTTGTAAACCTGTGCTGTGAGTGTGTTTGTGTGTGTTATTTAAATGCAACTACTGAAAAGCTTGTGCGCACTCTAGGACTCATATTATTATTTTCTTCCTAAGCCCTCCCAATACTGAGCTTAAATCTACATTAAAAATGCCTCTTAATTAATTGCAGCAATTGAGTCATTTTGAAATTCTTTACTGTGCTGTTAAAGCAAGTATTCCAACTTCGCTTCCCAAGAGGTCTCTGGAAACAATACCTCCAGCTGCTCCAACAATCCTCATTGATGTGCATCTCTCAGTGCAACTGTCAATACTATCCAAAGGTCTGTTTTCAATTCAAGGAATATTTATTGAGCCCCTGCATTGGCATGAAAGAAAAATGGAGCTCCTTTACATCCACTTATATGTTTCACCCTGGGGAGTCAGGCTTAACCTTAGACGAAAAACAAAACAAAACAAAAACGTTTTAGTTGAAAACTAGGCATCTCCACACTATTGATTCTAGCATCCTCACGGTGGCCTTGATGCCACAGCCCTAGGAAGCCTCTGCACCAGTGACCAGTGACATGCTAAAGTGATGACTCAGGTGTCCATTGGACAAGAACATAGATATGGGCTGTGGAGAGTGGAATGGAACCCAATCTGAGTCTAGCCCAAGGTGGACATAAAAGGAAAGAGCTGGGTGAAATGTAAAATGTGAAAAATAATGAGATTGGGAGAAAAATGGTGCCATTAACATAAAAACGTAAGACTGTGAAGCAGCTAGAAATGCAGTAATGGATGGAAGATCCACCCAAAATTACACTTACTCGTTTGGATCAGAGGATAATTTAACATGGCTTTTGTGTGGGCTGTTGGCAGCATAAAAGCATCTGGGAAGCAGATAGGTAATCCAGGAAGGCAGGAATCCAGGATGCCTCCATGTGCAGCCATGTGTGTGTCCCCTTTGAATTGGACATTGCTTTTCCCCCGCCTTCCAACTGACTTCATGTTCCAAGATATGATAAAGGTCTGGACCCGAGGCTTGGGATTCCAGTGAGCCGCCTCATCAGACTTCTTCCTGAGGATGTCATCCTACTTCTAGACAACCTAAGAAGCACAGGAGAAAGGAAGTGCTACCAGAACAGAGCACAAAGCACCAAGCCTGATCTGACACCCAAAGGAGATTCATTATCACCTACCCACCAAGCAAAGTAATAGAATTCCATTACTTACGCTTCAAACAGACACTGTATATGGAAATGAACTGGGTGCCTTACCAATAGCTTGGTAACATCTCAGCATCCTTCAAGCCCTTTGAAGAAACTGCTGTCTTTCATCACTCATGGGTCCAGACATGCCTGTATTTAAGCCAGAAATTGAAAATGAACAATACTGTGACGATGAAGCCGTGCTTGGGTGGTTTCAGTCCTGTCATGCCCAGTGACCCATTGTTTTATGCCTAAAAGTTTAAAACAATAAAACAGAATTTGTAAATCAGGCTCAAATGAATCTGAAAGCCAGATGCCTCTTTAATGTATTTTTATCATTTCTTTTGTTCGCTCCAGATTGCTTGCTTGTGCATATTGTGCTCTGTATATTGTCTCTTGTGCCCTCCACCCTCCCTTCTCTCAGCCCCCCACCTCCCGTTGGTTTCCTTTGTCTCCCCAGACAATTTTACTTCTACTACCATATCATGTGTGTGTGTGTGTATGTGTGTGTGTATGTGTGTGTGTGTGTGTGTGTGTGTGTGTGTAGGGTGGGATTTGTGTATTTATACAAAATCTGGGAACCACAAATGAGACATACAATATTTACCTTTCTTTTTTGTTTTTAAAATACTTCTAACATTTCACGTTTTTAATTTTTTGAGAATTTCATACATGAGTGTTGTCACATCATTTCTGCCCATCCATCTTTCTCCTCCCTCCAACTCTTCCTGTGTCCCCCTCACTCCATCTCAAATTCATGGGCTCTTCCTCTTTAACTATTGTTACAAATGTGTGTGTGTGTGTGTGTGTGTGTGTGTGTGTGTGTGTGTGTGTGTGTGTTTGCTCGTAGGTATATGTGATTAGGGCTGACCACTTGGGACTAAATAACCTATCGGGCCTCATCCCTGGACAAGACTGAGTCTCCCTCTCTCCACAGCCACTGAGATTGTAGGCATAGGGCCTTGTGAGATTTCCCACATCGATGTTGGCATGGCAACTGGCCCAGTGGAGCCAGTCTTAGTTAGATGAGCATCTATTTGAGGTCCTACAAGCCCAGCTTCCCTGTCCTAGACAGAAGACACTGTCTTCACAGCAGATGTTCTGGCCCACTAGCTCTTACACTCTTTCCACCCTTCTTCCTCGATGTTCCCCGCTTGGTATATTCCTTTCTAAGACTGGCTTAAATTACTTAATGTGATTATCTACAGTTGTATCCATTTTCCCGCCAGCAGCATAACTTAGTTCTTTATGAATTATGAGAAAAATCCCATTGTGTATGTATAATACATTTTCCTTGTCCATCTTTCTATTGCTGGACACCTGGCTGGCTTCACAGTTTAACTATTTTATTGTACTTTCAAAACCAAAATATATAGTCGATACCTCTTCTTTTAGGGGCCAACTATAGTTTATATTATACCATTATATCCCCTTAGTAATTGTTTGGTCTTCAAGTAACAAAATATTTTCTTTTAGGAAGTACCATTTTATAACTATTGTGGCACATAACAATAATTGTTAAATATACCAATTTTCAGCTGGTTTCACTTTCTTTTTAATTTTTTTCTTCTTCAATAAATTTTACTATGAAAAGCTGCAAATAAATAAAAAATTGAAAATCTTCTTTAAAGTTCTCTTCAGAAATATATCCAATTATTATCTATGCCCATGGTGAACCATCCCACCAACCTTGCTGTGCCAGATACAAACTCAAATGCAGGGGCATAGTGACATGGCACC